GATAATAGGGTTGTCCTTAACTATTGCCCCATCACAATTAGTTCTCTGCTGTGCAGAATCTTTTGGAGCATTATAGACAAACGCATTCGATCCGTGGTGAAGTTCAATCCACGTCAGAAAGGGTTTATACCTGTCTGTTTCGCTAATATTCAAATTCTTTGTCAAGCAGTCTGTGACATGAAAAAACAGAGGGTGGTGTTGGTGTTGTGCTAGATATATCCAACGCATTCCACACTGTTCTCCACGCGGCGATTCGGTGGGCTCTGTCCAGGAAGGGATCCCCGACGCCTTTACCAATTTGGTAATGGACTCTTACGCCAATGTTTCCACCGACATTCAGAACCCCTCGAAAGGAATTGAGGTACCTATTCGTAAAACGCGGTCATCTCTTGTCCCCACTACTTTTTAACATCCTCATGGAGTGCCTGCTTGAGAAATTGGAAAATATGTCAGGATATACGCTATTGGGAAGGAGTGTGTCCGTGATAACATTTGTTGACGATCTGGTGCTATTAGCAAAAGATGCTCCAGGAGCTCAAGAATTTGTTGATATTGTGGTGGAATATCTTGGAGCCCTCGAAATGACATTGTGCGTCGCGAAATGTTCATAATTTCAAATTACAACTTTTGAACGATCCTGGTTCATTGAGGACCCGTCTGGAAAGGTTGGGAGAGAGAATTTCCCTTGTCAGTAATGATCAAACTCTAACATACCTGGGAGTGAACTACTCTATCTAGAACAGCTTCCCATCTAAAGCATTCGTATCGAATTTAATGGAAGCAGTATCGAGGCTTCAAAAGGCGCCTTTATACCTACTTCACTGCTCACTTTATACCTACATAATGCCACATTACCTTTATCATTTGGTATTATCCATGCCATCTATGTCGATGCTCAGGGAAGCGGACGGTCAAATCAGAGTGGCCGTCAAAAAGTTCCTACATCTGCTTATGAACACTGAGATGGCTTATTCTATATGGCCAGGAGAGATGGAGGACTGGGATTGCTGTGGCTCTCCCAACACGTTCCTAAAGTTGCGCTGAACCTCGGATTATGACTAGAGAAATCTGCAGATCCTGTTTGCAGATGGTTGAGCTCCAGTCCGAGTTTTTACCAACGGATACTAAAGACAGCAAAATCACTTAGACTCAACTGGCCCTTTTCTGAACAAGGTTTAAGGGCTTGAAAGAAGAAATGCGCCGATGACGAGGTAGCCGCCTGAGATAAGCTGGGATCCCAAAGGAGAGCGGTTAGAGCGCATATAAACTATCCGATTGGAAATGTCTTTTTGACAGATTATCATCTTCTGAAACTTATTTTTATCACTGCACTTCAATTGAGATCTAATCCCGCTGCCAATAAAACTACTCTTAGTAGAGGATGTATACTGCATGAAGTGCAATGCAGCGGTAGAAACCATGAATCACATCCCCAGTCAGTGCATTTTTACCAAGCCAGCAAGAATAAAGCGTCATGACGAGATCAAAAACTTCATAGAATGGAAGATGCTCCGGAAATCGGGCACCGTGGTGTCCACGGGAGCCACTCTCTGCGTTGCCGAAGGGGTTAGTCTCAAACCTGACCTGGTAATAAAAAGCCGGGAAGGGGTCCACGTGGTCGATGTGACTGTTCGCCACGAGGCTGTGTCTAGCCTTTTGAAAGCAGGGGAAAGCAGTCATCCTCTTGGCAGCTCAACTTCATGGAGTACACCACGCCAGAATCCTACCAGTGGTGGTTGAAACCTCTGGGGCTATGCCAGGATTCAGTCAGTGCCCTCAAGACCCTGGGGATCACGTCCCGAGGCGATCTACTGAGTATCTTGTTAATTGCTCTCATAAGCTCTATTAACACACAATTTGTAAATTACGATGGAGCAATTTAGCATTGCTGGTAGTGAATGCAGGAAAGGAACTTCATTGTCCCGTGGGGAAGTCTAGGGAACCCATTGTGTCCTAAAATGCCTAGGAATTACCCAGTTACCACGACTTTAAGCGGGAAGTGTATGCTATTTAATGTTGCATATAGAAAATTGTGTATTCAGAATTCACATTTTGTGGATCCTTGATACCTAAAATTTGGGTGATGGCAAAACATCTGTCCGTTAGGCTCTCTGGTTGTGGCCAAGGCCACCCTCTAACATGATTTTCCCAAAAAAATACATTTCTAGATCGATCTGAACGAACTCAAGGCCCTGTGAGTTTGAAACGGATATTTAGATTTATTGTGATACTTTACATAAATTCTCAACATTTTCACAACTGACTCCAAATTTTTTTATTACACGTCCTTCTCGGATAGCGTAAAGAAAGCTTAAAATTATGTAGGTTTCATTTTCATAGGGAAATCTGAAGTTTGGAAAATTGCAAAAGTTCAACTTCTTTCGGCATATTCCTACAATTTTACAATATTGAAGATAGATATAGTTTTCTGTTTAAAATCTGGTCTTCAAAGGCAGATATTTAAACAAAGTTATATAAATGTTTTAGAAAATACGAGTAGTTTTCTGGAAATTTTGCGCTTTTCCAAGACGACTACAATTTTTTTCTTTCTTTTTCCTCAAATAGAAAAAAGTACACAATGAAATAGCGCAGGTCCCATTTTCGATGCACTGTCTACTTCCAAAAATTGCGGAAAACAATTAATAATGTAAAAGTACAATATTGTTGATACAGATTAGTTCCCTTAATGAAATATGTTCTTTAAAACTAGATCTTGAAATAAAGTAAATGAAAATCATTGTATTTTTTAACATTGCAAATGCCATGGTTCAACTATTTTTAAAGCGTAGGAAAGACGTGGGGCTGGTGAACACCATTTTGTTAGTGTATGTGGTAATGTAAAAGGCGTGCTTCCCATAGAAACTGAATTCGCATCACAGCGTGGAGAAAAACAATTGCTGCTTGGAAACACTTTTGCAGGTTCATCAAGTATTATGATACTCCGTACTCGTTTCAAATAATGCGAGAAAGTATAAATTGTTGTAACATCACTACTTTCTAGGCAAAATGCATTAGGCATGTTTTCTTGAGCTCCGTAATATCTTCCCCCACTCCTTCACTAACAGTAGTTGAGATAAGCAAAAATAATAGCGACAAGCGTTGTTGCTTGGCAAACTCTGATGATCAGAAATGTTCGTTCCCATGTAACAGAAGTTATTTCGCATCGAAAAATTTCCACATATATCATATAATAGTCATACGTTGAAATATACACCCCTCCCACTCCATCTAATGAAATGGGGGATCAAGAAAACCTGCGCGGACAAGCGAACGTCAGTTCCCAAGGTGTCAAATATCGCTGCCGTTGCACAACCCCCAGATAGTCAAACAAGATCTTATAATATATTAAGAATATATATTTTACTTTTAATGACATTGAGTCGCGAGTCAGTCAGTGTGTACATTGCGGTGAACAGTGGTGCAGTAGATGAACAGCAGTCTGAAGCTGGATGCTGAGCTGTGAAGTGTGCATCGCGGGGAAGAGCAGTGCAGTGGACCCTGATCAGCACCGTGAATTGTGGTCTGCGCAGGGAATTGTGGTCAGCGCATGGGACCGTAGACAGTGCATCAGACTGTGTGATAGAGTCGAAGAAGTGAATAGTGTTAATAAATAATTAGAATGAAAGTGTAAATGAATAATCGGAAAAGTGAACGGTGTATATAAATAATCAAGAGAAGTGAGTCGTGTGTAAGGAAATAACCAAGTGAAGAACACAAGGACTGTTCAGTCTATCTGTAAATAAATCAAGTATTTTAGTGTATCATTGTTTACAAATAAACATATTTGTTAAATATTACTTGTGTGTGTTTTAATGCAGTTACAATATGTAAAGAGCTGCCCAGAACATGTGACTTTTAGAGCTTCAGAGGACAGCACCGTCGCCCCTGGGTGGCAAGTGACAGTGGCTGGTTTGTCGCAAAGTAATGGTTCAAATATGGTATAAGCTAAGCTGAAATATTATGTAATATGACGTAGTAAATCAACTTTTTACTTCTGCCATCCGGGATATTAAGTCATGTGCTAATTTTATCGCAAGAAATAGCATAAAATGTTCATTAAAACTTAGCAAGCAAAAAATATTGAAAACATGTCTGATGAAAAATGATATCATTCAAATCATCGGAAATATCATAAGCAAAATATTAAACGCGTGCCTTGATAATGAAATTCAACAATCAAAATTTGAATACAGCCCAGGAAACTTGCAAAGATTTTTAAAAAAAACGTTAACAAGTATAATATTTATTAATATTTTTTAACAACCATGATTTATATTAATTAATACGTTAAATTGTATCAACTTTAGGTTAACTTGGTGTTGAAAGTTCTTACACTCTGTGAAAAATTACGAACATTTTTGGGACTGTGTTTATGAACATTCTAGATTTTCCCCACAGAATAGTAAGTTTAATGTAGGTAATATTTCTATCAATGATTATCATTAATACAATTTTCTAAAATAAATATTTAAAAAGCCGACAGTTTATGAAAATATACGGAAGTCACTTCTACCTGAATAACAGAGGGGCCCGAAATTCGTTAGCACTTTTCATATCCGATGAAAGGGAATTATTCATTTTATTATAAATTAGCCAAGGACGTGAGAAAAAATATTTCGAACCATTTTCAAAATGAAAATATAGTGACTTGAAGTATATGATAGAATAGTGAATCTTTAAATTAAATTTGTGAACAAGATACACAATCAGAACCTAAAAACACGAAAAAAAATATCATTGTAAATAACAAACTTGATATGAAACACAAACCACTGCAACAGCATAATACAGCCAAAAACTTACTAATTCTCTAGGAATCGTTTACGCGCACAGCAGAGGTTGCCACCAAACACTTTCCCGCCAAATGTGACGCCATTCCAGACCTCTCGCAAGTCCTGAATTCTTCTACTTCTATACTCTCTGGCCCTGTCTCTAATAATCTCTGTGTCCGTCGTTTTTTTGTTTTGTTGTTGTTTTTCTTTGTCGTTTAAGCTCATCTCTATGAAGATCAGTGAAGATGATATCAGGATGTGATGCCGTCGGGACGCCGTGAACGGGCGTGTATCGTACACAAACCGAATATTAAAGTATTTTGTGTTGTGATTAGTGTGTAGAAGATGAAATGTGTGTAGAACAGTGATGTGCAAATGTGAATTCCGCGTGTTAGTGAATAGTGATGTGATAAGTGTTGGATCTCGTTTAGTTGATTTTATTGTTTATTTGCCATTGGAGTAAGTATATATCGCGAAGTTCAACCACGAAAACTTTTGTTTTTGTATATTTGTCAATGATCTCTTGTGATACATTAATCGAAATAAAGTCAACAATAATAGAATATAGGTTAATGTTTGTTTTTTTTTAATTATTCCTTCACCTGCGATTCCTCCAACGGGACAAATTTTCCATCTACCTTCCCAGAACTTCGTTAGTAGCTTGTGTACTAATAGAATTATGGTTGTACACAAAATTTAACCAAAATATTTATGGATTTTGATGTTTGGGCTGTAATATCAATCGTGAACAGCCAAAACATTAAATTAAGTGTGGGTGTGCTACACTTGTAATTTTTGTTTTTCACGCAAGTGTATTCTGTTTAAGATTTATGTTGTTTGTGGGCTGAGAAAATACATTTTGGGTGCTGGAATGAACCATGGAAGACCAGCTATTCCTAAGAAGGAAAATGAATTGCACGGGACTTGGCCTGTTATTACGCTTCCAACTACTGTATATTAATTCCTGGAAGATGAGATGGAAATTGGAAATTCACACGGGAGGATGAATTGTCAGTAACTGTAACAAATATAAGCAATAAAATGTTTTTCTTAGGGTGTAATGAAAGTTTTGTTTTTCTATATTGAAATTTAAATTGTTGTATTGCTTGATAAATTTATCAGTGTTACAAATAAAATTTGGGTCTTATCTTAGCCAAATTTTTTTTCTGGATGTTTAGCAATTAGTATCCTTCTGGATGTTTTGTGTTTAAACTTGTTCCTTTTTTTAGCAAACCATTATGTGCATGCTTTGTTTTTTAAATTATTTTGGGGAAATGAATGGTTCAATTGTGTAAGTAAAGTGCAATTTAGAAATACAATAATAAATTCGTAATTTTTATTTTGCCCATAATGAGACCATAGAAAGTTATAATTTTTTTTACAATTGTCCTGAAGTTTGTAAATATATATATAACCATTTTGGCTGTTAGCAATTGATTTTCCCATTATTTTATGTTTACATTACAAAATACATAACAAGAACAGGCAGTTTTCCATTGAAATTATGTAAACAACTGACAATTGAAGAGTTGTAGCCAATAAATGCCCCCTTCGTAATATGAAAGTGATACATTTAAAAAAAATACTATAACTTTTGAAATAAAATTGTACAACTATCCTGCTTAATTGAGAAATGTCAAAAGCAGTTGTGTGAATAAAAAGAGCCAATTTGTAATAAATATTTTTGCATAGCATTATCACCTTTCTTCCCATTAAATGAAATCCAACTACCATGTATGAATATTCATTCGAAGATGTTAACGATGCTGGCATTTATAAATTCAGGTACTTGTTAGTTGGATTTCGTTTTGAAGTCCACAACACATTCTCAATTACAGAACTAAAACTAACTTAAGTGCGAGTAGTATCTGAGGAAGTAAAATGGTACAATATTTATACAATACATTACAACAATTTTCAACATAAAAATCCAGACAAACGTCTGAAGAATTCGCTCGTTTCGTTTCTATTTAGATTCGATGATATCACGTGGAAACTGTAAAGAATACATTATGAGTACCATGGAGCTTAAGTTCACTTCATTATTTTGGTACACAGCATTGCTGAAGCATACTTACTTCATATTTCATAAACTTTTTTCAATGAGAGGTGCACGTTGCTTCAAAGTTCTCCAACAGGACATACGTTGAGTGCAAATGCTGCCATTGTCTCACCTTTCTTACCTAATGCCTTAGCTGTATACTGACCTACATCACTTGTTGTGCAATTAAGAATTTCAAACTTAAACTTCTTTTTACCATCCTGGACAAACTGGTACTTGGAACTTTCTTCGTCCACAGGTTTGCCATCCTTCAGCCAGGTAACTAGAAATTACATCATCGTTATTGAAACAAATTGGACCACTGCAGCCTAAATTAATATTTAAGTACTTGAATTAAAAATAAACTTCAACCTAATGTTGTTCTGAAAATCAAACGAACTCAGTATTTAAGTAGTGGTGAAAGTCAGTATAAATTTACCTTTCTGTGGTGCCTTCTCTGTTTCACATTCAAACTTCACACCCTCTCCTTCTTGAACGGTGGCAGACTGCGGGAATGTTTTGAACACTGGGCTTTTGGGCTCTTCATTTGGTACTAAAACAAATAAACAACCCTATTGCAATCTATATAATCTTTAAAAAATTATGACTCATCTGTTGGCTATTCCAGTAAAAAGGAAAATGCATTTTGAAGTTGGCAAAAAATATTTAGGTTCATAAGATGTAAACAGTTTCTTAAGACTTATGAAGATAAGAAGTTTTAGAAGTCACTGCACACAAACTTGGCTTTTCCCATCCAAATTATTCTTATTCTTGCTAAGAATAACTTACCGAGGACATTGAGTGTGCAGCTACTGAATGACTCGCCTGCATCATTAAACGCTTCACAAGTGTATGTGCCAGAATCTTCAGGGAAAATTTCAGCAATGTTCAACTTGTAAATGTTTGCTTCATTAGTATATTCAAAGTCTTTGCTTGGTTTTATTTCCTTATTATTATGAAGCCATACAACGTCAAATTTTTCAGCACCTGTTAGTCAAAGCATGTCTTATAGAGCAGTTTGCTATCTAAATATACCAATGTAACACATAGAATCAGTTGAAAAAATAAAAATACCTATGATTCGGCAAGACAAAGTAACTGGTTCACCATCTTTTACAAATGCAGACTGCAGGTGACTTACAATTTTGGGTGGTTTGTCTCCACCTTTGGATTTGCTGCCACGGACTGCAGAGTCCATTGCTAAATAAAAGGACAATTTTTCAATCACACATTTGTGAAGAGGAAATTCAGCCATAAAAAGACATATAAAATATATAGAATACTAAGTTTTAGATATGAAAAAGGGAAATCGCATATGGTAATTCACATACATATAATGTGTACAAATGTAGTTCATTGGTATTTTTCCTTATATGACGGTATACTTATTAGATTTAGAGCTTCTTAAACACTGCTGTGAAACTTCACATTATTTCATGAAAATGTAAGTATTTAATTAATCTATAGAAAATTACACTACTTACGTTTCACAGTAAGCTTGCATTTTGTCTTTACTGCACCTATTGAATTAGTTGCTTCACAACAGTATTCGCCCTCATCTTCTGGGAACACTTCATTGATTGACAGAGAAGCTACTCCACCTTTGTATTTGAGATCCACTATATCAGATGAACTCAAGGGCTGAAATGTATAAGAAAAAATTATATTTCCATTTATTTGTTAAGCAAATACTTCTAGCTTAAATAGACTTGCCTAGGAATAAGTCACCAATAAATTTATATTTTTACCTGTCCGTTCTTAGACCATGTCACTTGTGGTTCAGGGTCTCCAGTCACTGAGCAATTCAGTAAAAGTGACTCGCCATCATTGACGGTAAGGTCAGCCAATTTTGCAGTAAATTCAGGTGCACACATAAGCGAGTCATCAGGTGGTACTGTAAAAGAAGTGAACCGTTAATAGTAAATTTTAATTATCTCTGCACATTGCATTACCACACTAAATGTAAAAATGAGAGACAGCTGGTGAAATGGCTTACAAATCAATTCCTTGGTAGCACTCCGTGACCGGGATGGTGATCCTGTGGCATCCAGTTTGCTACCATACTTTTTTATACTTCGTTTGTCTGAAGTGGCTGATGAACTTTCAGAGCTACTAACCGCAATTGTGGCTGCAGACTGAAATTTCAGAAAATTGAATTATATTAATAAGTGATAAATTAAACATAATAAGAATGTGAATTGTATTATCTATTTATATTGAGACAAGAAAATATATTGTGACATTAAATTACAGATGTTATAATACAGTTTGCAGTATGTTCAAAAGAATCATAGGTGTGGCAACGGTAACTATATAAATCTTAAAAGAGACATTTTGGGAATAAGGTTGTACTAATGAGTTGATCCTTTTATTAATTTAATTAAATGTCTTTAAATCAGTCTCAAAATATCAGTAAATGTTGTAAAGTAAAATAGATTCACTCTGGAATGAAGTAAATGATATGAAAACTACAATGCAAAAATGTAGAAGTGTGTTAATTGTATTGTCGGTCCCTAAAATGATCTCATTTCAGGAAATTTCTATTATGAAATTAATTCCAGGACATCTTGTTGTAAAATAGATTTGGGATTGTTAATTTGCAAAATATAATTTATCTCTCCCAAGAACCAAAATGAGTTCATTGTGAAAACTCATTTTCTAAATCAGTACTTTTGCAAAGTTGAGGGATTGTTCAGAAGTTTTCCATCACAGAAATTATACATATAAAGATTATAATACAATTCTAATATGATTTCAAATGAGAAATAATACATATACAATTAAAAATGCATTAAAATTCAAAACTAATCATAATTAATTGCCGTTAGAATAATATAGCTATAAGACTATTTTCATATACAGTAATCCCCCCTGTTACGTGCGCTTGAACCCCCCTAAATAATTACGTTATGCCTGGGATCCCCTCCCCTTTAATTCAAGAAATGAAAATAAGTCATACACAATAAACATATTGTATTCATTTTATTTGTGTTGTATGTTAAAGTTCATAACAATTAAAGTCAGAAATACTACAATTCAGTTTTGAAAATTTTATCTCTTATCTTACTGATTCAATAAAAGATCGATGAAAAAAAATTTTTAAGAACTTCAAATTATTTATGTTTTAAAACCTCTTAATTTGATACTATTTTACTATAAGATTCAAAAAAGGAAGTATTTCAACTAGTGTTTAAAAATTTAAAAATAATATTGTTACGTAACACTACTCGAATATCCCCCTGCCTCTATGTAATGCAGCGTCACATTGCCTCAAACCACTCCCTCTCCGTAGCGTGACTACATAATGCATGGACTACCCCTCAGGCGCTATCGTTGACCACAGACTGACGGGCAGGCGTTTTGCCGTCAACCAATTTCTCGGAATTAAAGGTCGGTTATATCAAGGATTCTGACTGCGCCGTTATATAAAGTAATTTGCTACATGTAGGGGCAAAATGTATCTATTTTTTTATATCAGGGCCCCACAATACAAGTTTTCCTGATGAAAAATCAGTATCCTTTTTTCAGTATTACAATACTTTTTGTGTTCTACTTTCACTACGTAAGTAGTATGAGATAGAGAACCTTGGCACTGAAGAGGTAAGTAAATTTATATTAATATATGAGGAACAATGTATCGTAATAAAAGCAAAATATGAGCATTTGCATGTACGTATTTTAAACCAAAACATGAAAAACAAAAAGTGCTGCATTGGATACTTTCTCGCGTTATTTGTAAATTTTCAAAAGTTCAGAGTTTATCGAAAATCCTACATACGCCAGTTTTAGAAACGAAACATTATGTAGATAAAAAATAAAATAAAACATTTGGAGCCGTTTTTGAAAAAATGTTTTTAAACTTTCATTTATTTCTGACAAAAATTATGCGAAAACTTCTACTTTTGAAAAAAATGTACACGACCTTAATTAAAGATCTAATTTTGAAGAACAGACTTCAGAACCAAAGAAGAAATCTGCAGTATTGTAGTCGTAAAAGGTCAAAAAGATTGAACTTATGCAATTTAAAATTGGGCCTGTGCATTTTTATAAGCGTACTCTGAGAAAATATTGAGCCATTTTTGAAAAAATAAAAATTTGACTCCATGTAAAATACCGTCAAAAGTTAAAATATCTGTTTCAAGTTCAAGGGACTGCTAACACCAGCCAGATTGATCGGGGTGTAATAAAGGGGTGAAAATTCTGTTTACGGTATAACCGTTAGCAGTGTTCACACACGGACAGATGTTTTGTCGCAAACCTATATTTCAGAATGAATGTCCTCAAAAAGTAATAGTCTGCAAAATGTGGATTCTTACTATATAACATAGGTTGTACAACCTCCAGGTAATCTAAAAATCTTGTAGTATGTTAGGAATAAACATTTTTCTTTTAATGACTCTCAATATTGAAGATATTGCAGCAATATCAATAGATATGAAATCAAGAAGCGTTCTCTCTGGCGTCTGGTGCTCTCCCAGGCAGTGCACCAAGTCACGCAACGCGCTCTAAAGTTCTTTTACTCCGTTGACACTTCGGTCTCAGCAACATAATGGTCCTAGTTAGCACTGCAACGGGCCACCAGCTTACATGGGGATCTGGTGGCAGAGCGCGGAGTGGTGACCGAGAGGTACACACATTTTCTGTCTTCGTCTGAAACTATCTGCAACTTCATTTTATGAATTTCGCGTATGATGCCAATTATTATAAATACATAAGTTTAGTCAATATTTGACGATATTGAATGCATTATTTATTATGTGTAAGGAATTTATTTTCATTTGATTTTAGGTTTGTTGATGAGTGAAAAGTAGTAGTAAAGTTAGACTTTCTGAAAGAAAATATATTTTTTTTGCCCGTCTGCTGCACAAGATGTGTGCAGTGATCTTTCCGGCAGAACCTGCAGTTATTCTGCAAGAGTCGCTGTGAATAGGAGTGTGTGCGAAAGATTTTTAATTATTGCAATATATAGCAGGGTAGGGAAATTTTCGAAATAAATTAATTTTATTTCGGTATAATCACCACTAGTGGCAGCAGTAACAACGAAGATTAGGAAAATAACTAGTATCGATAAATAGTGCTTGTTGCAAAGTGCTAGAGTGGGATCGCTGATCACCGTCTTTTCGAAATTGGTTCGTTGTTGTTTTGTATGAATTCTATTACCGGCAATTGTCTCAAAGCAGAATTAATGCAAACACCCAAGCGCCCACTGGAAATCAAAGCCAGAATCATGTGCGCGGGAGGTTAACATACCTTTTCCGGACTTAATGCATAAAATTATGTAAGTAATGTTACACATACAATTTTATTACACTTAAGGTTTCATTAATTTACCCAAATTGCTTACGTTTTATAATAGATTCGTGTTCTGAACCTTGGAAATTACACTCCCGTCATTCGATGGATATTCAACCTCCAGTTTTGGGGGGAACCAGCTGCCAGTGTATGAGAGCCAGCGTCGTAAGCCGAATTGCTTAACTAGGTACGTGCTACCGAATTGCTTAGCTCCGTGAAGTCGCGGAAGTTAAACAACACAAGAAAGACATCACGGGCCGCACCGTCTTGACCCTGGTTCGAGAGCTGCAAGGAACCAGGGCGGCAATGGCTTCAATTTTTGTTAATGAAACATTGTCCTTGGATAGCGAACTCTTAAAAGCACAACGCGAATCTCATTTTCGTTGAAGTCCTGATTTTTCAAGAATTGCCAAAGTTCGACATTTTTTCGGCAAGTTTTTACAACTACCGAATATTTTACAAGTTAAATACGAGTTACAATATTAAATATAGAGATTTTTGTTAATAAAAATCTTGTTGATAGACATCTTGAAATATGGTGAAGTACAATACTCAGAAAATGTGAGAAACTCTACCTAATTTTGCATGAAATATAAGCATTTTTTAAATTTCTTTTCTTTTTCTTTTTTTTCTTTTCAAAAAATGACTCAATTCTCCTCGTGTATCGCAGAGGGAGGTTAAAAAAAGGTGCTGGTCCCATTTTCGCAACCGGTGCACATTGCAAAACCAAACTCTCTGTATTTTTGAAAATTGCAAAAAATTAATACTGCAAAAGTACAATGTTATTGAAAGGCTTAATTTTGGCTTAAATTAAATCAGTTATAAAAACTAGATCTTTAAGTAAGGTCATATACATTTTTTTTATAAAAGAAGTTTTTATATCGAAGTCAATTTTCTGATTGAAGTTACTGCAATTTATAAAAAAAAACTATTCTCAACAACGGCCCGAAACTTTTATTCTATTTGTCTAAGATAGAGTAAAGAACGCTTGAAAATGGTGCAAGTCTCTCTTTCGTTCAACTTTCTGAATTTTCTAATAAAAATAAAAATTGTTGCGTCTTAGTCGACACAACGTTTGTCTGAACCCTTGTTGGGCGTTGAGCGCCTGGCATCGAATAATCCTCAGTTTTTTCTTTTGTTTTGTTTTTTAAGACTCGTCACGTCGCATTCAGTCAGTGCCCCCTTCGGCCAGAGGCTCGGAGCCGTTCGATCCGATCCAGAGGTTCCTAGACGTCACCCAACCAGGAAGTCGGGAAGTCTCCAATTCGCTTAACCTCTATGACTTTATAGAACCTAGTTAAGGAATTCGGCTAGCGACGACAGTAATTGCTAATGTTCGAAAATTGCGAGAAAATACGATTTCTTTTAGCATCACTAGTTTTAACAAAGGTATGTTTCACTGCTTAGAGCAGAGGCAGTCGTAGTGACGCATGAGTATGTAAAAACTTGGACGCGTTTTCACTTTTAAGTTTTAATTATGACAGTGCTCCTATATGTAAGGCGACACCAAATTTGGTCGGGCTTATCTTGAGACGCCACCTAAAGATGGGAGGAAATATTCTTTTGACCCAGAAACGTCCTTCCACACTTTTTGTTATCTCGTGCCGTTTCTGAGTTAGGATGAACTGTTTGAATATGTGAAGTAGCCGGAGGTGTGAAGCGCTCCGGAGGTATGAAAAGGGTCGTTGAAAGCAATTTTTAGAAACGTACCCGGCGATTCCATCCCAAATTGTAATGCAATTGTCCCTCTTATCTCAAAAGAAATTCTTTGGAGTTGTGGCTTTATGGGGTAAATGGTTTTTGAGATATAGCGGTTTGTTTGACACAGTTTTATAGTAAGACA